GTCTCATATAGTGCAAATGATTTCTGAAATCTCTTCCAGTACTTCCACAGTTATCTGCAAATAAACAGTTCTAATAAATTAATGAAAGTCCTGCTCCTTTGAAAATGAAAAATAAAATATTTTAATTTGAGTGTATTAATGAGAGACAAAAACTTCAACAAGACTGCTGAAAATAGCTGTGCGCAATAGCCAGCAGTCCCTTTTGTAAATGCATTGTGAAACGGAATTCCCTCAGCTAATGCTTGTCCACTAGACCTACTCTAAATTCGTAAAAATCTCTCACTAAAAATTTAATGTCAGAAGGCATGGAAACTCACATTTCGTCACCAAATAGTAACGCAATTTTACGATCTGGTAATAAAAAGTGAACATATAGATGCTCTGGGACGTCACAATTCTGAATGCAATATGGATATTGGGTGCATCCAATCCTTAAGTGAGAGTATAAGGAAGGGTTGAAAATGCAGCCCTGAGCAAACCTAAAGCCACCAATAAACATAGTAAATAAAGAAACGTTGACTGAATTTTAGATTGCCTTGTACATCAACGCAGATAAAACCAAAAATAAAATTATTTTAGGTGGGCCGTATTTAAAAAAATGGGTTGAGCAACCGCGATTTCCAAATTCAGCCATTCCCGAAAACTAAACCGATGTTTTAATCTTGAATTTGTGTTCGGCACTGTCTATGCTCAATTTGTATCTCAGCGGATGACTGACTCGCTCACAAACGCACAAGCTTACGGCTTGATTCTTCCGACTTTCAAGTTCATGCCTTCTCCACAAAAACGAGTAATACAGACTTCATGAGCGAGCAGCAAACAGTTAAAACTAGCTTCCTCATCTTATTTAACAATTTTAAATTGCAAACCGCCATGATTTATGCTGGTTTAAGAGCCATGAGGTTCTCATTTCCCTGTCAAGAACCGCAGGGGAGAATTTCTACACTTCTATGTATACCTATGCATTCCCATTCATTGATTCTCAGGCTCCATTGTTAAGGGCAAATTCATATGGCACCATTTCAGAGGCTTAGAGAAGGCGCCTTTGATCTGAGTTGCGATGTTTGTAATGAACGCATTCATTATGGGAGACGTGAAAGACTTTTGTTTGTCAGGCGTACCAATGCAACAAACAGGTTTCTTGACCTGTGTCAGAAAAATGGGGTGAAAAATAAACTAGACGAGGTTAAGAAACTGTAGCCTACAAAATGAAAGCTTATATTTTATGCGAAAAATCTGCTTCTGCCATAAATGAATAGATTTCCAAGTTGGTTCTTATAAAATGTTACTAAGAAAATGAGTGAAATACATAATTTGAGAACCACCAAAAAATATTTCTTTCCACCGTAGGTAATTTTCCTTAAAATTCTTGCATTATTACCAATTACTTATCCTTGAAGCCTTAGTTTAAGCTCGAGTATTGGCCTTGCCCAGTATTTCTGGGCAAAATTCTGACTACTATGGAGAAATGTGTCAAAAAGACCAGAACAATCGGGGAAAACAGTTGGAAGGATCACAATTTTAATTGCTTTTAATGTGATGTTTTTGAGATCCCCCACCTTTGAAATGACACTTTTCTTTGGCATCAGATGCCAAAATCCACACCTAGTTATCCTAAGAATCAGGAAGGTTTCTTTAGTCCTCTGAGAGTTTTGGAACAATTTGCAAAACGGTCAGTAGGAGTCAAAGCACTGAAAATAAACTTGGCCTTACAAAGTTTTTTTCGCAGTTGATCAACAGTGTTGCAGCATGGCTAACTGATGGTCGACAACTGATGGATTGCCAGTTTGGTTTCCATGTGATCCCGCATAGTATTGATATCGTTGTTATCAATTTCTGTTCACGGAACAAGTGATCATTTGTGATAACTAGCCAGAAGTAACCAGAACTTGTCGATAAAAATCGGCCCCGATGCAGATACGGTACTTGAGGATGGAAGATTTTAGAGCCTGCTGTGTGCGCTTGGGCGGGTAACTGAATCTTCAAATCAAGCATGGTGACAACTGCTATTTATTTAAAAGTAGTATTGCTATTTCGGGTAATCATCTTAGGTATATGTAATCAAAATGGACCCAAAACTTCACTGACAACTCATTCTTAGTCACTGATAGCCAGTGTACGTAATCTTCAGGTAAAAGCAAAATCTAGAAACTCATATACAGCAGGGATTTTCCTCTGAAACACTTTTTGTAGAAAAAAAAAATGAATGGCTTCGTGATCGATGGAATTCAATCACGTGCAGGGTGCTAATGCAACTAACGCGCCCCGTCTGTGTAAAAGCGCTTAAGTGCCCTGCAAATGGGGAATTCTAGGAGCGAACCCAAATACAGAACGCGTCTATCGAAAGAATTTAATCTCCAAGGCTCACATGAGAGATTTGAGGTGAAGAAAAAATGCCTACAGTCCCAGCGAAAGGCCCACGTGATCCGCCTTCAGGGCTAAGCCACCGGAATACTAATGGGGAGAGAGAAATTGGTGATGAATGGGATGTGGGACATGGGAGCATGGACAACACATCGACCTCATGCATACAATGTGGTTTTACAGCGAGGATCGAGACCTTTTATCAACGACGCATTTACGGCCATTTGGCTAGCCGTACAAAGACTTCACAATATCACCACTTTCAGAAAGTTACCAAAAATAAAAGTAAGCGCCAATCATATTTCCAAAAACGGTCCGCCTCATTCAGGTGAAAATAATTCCGACTCATGGGAAAGACTGCATTACTACAAATCTGTTTGCCGATTTACTAATTTAACCCAGAATAAACATGTGGCCTCCGTAAACGGCCAGGAGGGTGCATTAATTTTTCAGAAAATTCCCAACTATGGCGGGGAATTAGTGCCTTAGGAAAGAGAGTAGCGATTAGCTAAATCAATCAACCAATCAGACTTTTGCCATCTGACGTCAGCAGAGATTAGCAAATGTATTTTATAAAATTGCAAACTTTAATCAGATTAAACAAAAAATTGACTTAAGACGATTCGGACCAAATTAATCTAAGCAAGATTTCGACTACCCCCTAAAATAATAAGTGAGTGACGCATGCCCGTTTAATGGTGGATGTCAAAACATTTAGACGAGCTATATTAAAGTTCTCCTTCATAATTGGAGTTTATAGGGAGGCATTTTATATGGACAAGGGTGTGGAGATAGTTATGCCTCTCCAACAACGTGAGCCGCAAGCAAATTGTCAACACAAAATATTCAACATTGCAAACCATGTGTAATACGATAGTGGTTTATCCCTCGGTTCTGGTGAGGCGCCACTTTTGTACTTCGAATTAGCCCCCTTGTACCTCGTTGGGTGGGCTGGCCTTTTGGGTTATGCCAATAGCCCAGACACCTTCTCCGTGCTGAATATATATATTCTGCCCGAGTATTTTGTCTTCTTTCGTCTTCAGGGAGTCTCGGGACGCTACACATGACCATGCAAGACAATGAAGCGGTGATGTACACCTAATTAACCAAAAGACACCTAATAAAAACATGGATTTTTTTAAAACACATAACATAGCATAGAATATTGGAACATTTTACAGGTGCAATTTTAGAACGTGACACTGCCTGTAGATTACACTTATAGCCTCTTGGCTTCCTTGGAAAACTTGAGTAGGCACATAAACACGTAGTGAGTAAATGTGGGCTAGCAGTATATTTGCACTAAGATAAAGGGGAAAAATCGAGGCAAAACGTTGACCTTAATATAGATAAAATAACCAGGTGCAACGACACTTGAGGAAAAGAAGCGAAATCAGGTTATCTCGTAGAGAGTGCTAAGGTGAAATATAGCGTCCCAAGACTCCCTGAAGACGAAAGAAGACACAATGCCCGGACAAAATATATATTCAGCGCAGAGAATGTGTCTGGGCTACTGGCATGGCCCGAAGGTCAGCCCACCCAACAAGATACAAGAAGGCTAATTTAAATCACAAAAGTGGCGCCTCACCAATACCGAGGGATAAACCACCATCGTCTTACAGATATGTTGTCAATTTCTACTTATTAGCACTTTATAACAGGAATAAATCATGAGTGAAACCATTATTATACTGCCAATAATTAAAAATGATTGACAGCTATAGCTAAAAAAAGTAATCGCATTTTAGGATTAAAGATTTTTGCCTATTTCCCCTACTCTTTTATACAAGGAAGTGAATATATTTCAGAGGAGTGTAGATTTTTGGAGCTCTAATGCACACATGTGGCAAGATTAAAAAATCCAACTGCAGACTTACGATAACGTACGTGTTTTAAAAGGCTTATGCAGTGTTGAGAGATTCATTTAAGGACATTGTTAGTTTTTGTTTATATGGACCAGATTGTCAAATTATGACCCTTTAAAATTTTGCGGATTGGAGCAATCTTGCGCGCAAATAGGTTACTGAATGGTCACTGATCATTGTAAAACCGCTTAGAATAGTTACATGGTATGTTAAAAGTAATCGCTAATATCACGTTTTTGATTTAACTTAATGCAACGCCACCAAAACATGTACTTGAGCTTTATATAATTGAATGTTTGACCAACCATCAGACTTTAAATTTATCTTTCGTAATCTAAAAGAGTAATACGTGCAATTTATAAATTTTACCTCAATACTAAGGTGTGTGTGCATCTTGTTTGCAAAACTTAAGAATTCTTGCAATTTTTTATGATGGGAGATTGCCTTCTCATTGGCAAATAATATTTCAAATTTATAAGACAGGAATAATATCTTAGACAACTTAAGGCTTGCACTAAAGGCATGTGGTAGTACCTACTTAGAAAATTTGATTTTTTTAACGTTACTTTCTGGCACTTTCAACTGTTAATAGGCCGATGCGTAGTCACCAACCATTCTAAACGTCGCTATTTGACTGAGGCGTAAGTCAACAAAAATTCGATGCTTTAATTTCTTCATTCAGAATACCCCTTTCTAGGACTCTTGTCATCTTTTAATCAGTATTGAAATGCGACTTTTTGGAACTTTGAAAAAGAGCGCAAGCTGTTGAAGATGGATGTTGCACATGTTCAGGTCTCTGATGAAGAACTCAAAAAACGGGCTTTCTATATCGTAAGAATGAAAGCTTGAACTGCAAACAGGTTTATTTGCCTTATTTGTTTAGGTAGAAAGTGGTGATTCTCTTGCAAGCATCGCAGCAAGGTTTGATTTAACTCCTTCTCGCCTATGCCAGATAAACAAACTCCGGAGCAATCATCTTTTTACTGGTCAACGTTTAAAGGTAGGTAAAGAAGAATTTGGGTGCCAAAAAGCAAAAGATGGGACTGCGGAACAAACCGAGGACCCTTGTGACTTCCAAGGTATAGCTTAGGACGAATAGTTATGGGTGAACTTGGAGAGTTCATTTCAAAGTTTGCTCTTTTAGTATTGTCTGACTGTTTATATAAATTATTTAGAAATGTTTGATTTAAATATAAAAGCTTTGTGCCATTTCTGCAAGTGCTTAACTAATGTGAGAATATTGAATAAATTCGTACTATTTATTTAAAATGATGGTCTTTGATGAATGTTTGAAAGGCAACAATATAAATTTCTTTTTAACAACAGTTTATATGGATGATATTTCTAAGATAATTTAACTTGTCAGCTGGACTTTGAGGCAGTAAAGTGGTGGAAAAAATTAGATCAGCTTAGGACACTAAATTAATCAAAAATTAATTTGCTTTAGTTGAGTCACACAGACATTCGTTGCATCGCGATTGTATCTTCAAGGTTTTCTTAACTTGTCGATGCAATTTTCTTCGCCCTTAGAGTATTGTATTGTAGTGATCAATTAGTAATAACTGCGAGGATATTGGGTGCTCTTCTCATATTTTAGCTACAAACGTTGTAGCAGCCGCGCCTTCTCAGGAAAAAAGGTATAGACAAATATTCAAGCGACTTATTGGAGTAGAGTGGTTGGAAAAGTCACGCACAGTCAAAGTCGTCCAGGTGAGAACAAGAAGTGAACAATTACTTAGATTGATTCGTGCTCAAAGTACGTGGTAAAAAGACTCACCGCCTGCGGAACTTTCTTTCCATTCAAATTCTATGCCTTGATCTGCATATAGCTTTATTCTTGATGGAATAAATATTATAGGACTTAGTATTTTTCATGCATAGTTTGATAAATTCTGTACGTTGCCTCTTCAGTAAGTTGATATGCACTTGACTGACAATACCGTCTTTTTGACCACTTAGGCTGAAAACATCAAAACCAATGATGCCTTAGCTGCTGGCCGCCTGGAAGTAGATGCACGATTTTGCCACGATTTGCATGTGAGATTTGTCGTTTCTCAAGACCTCTCTGAATATTTACTGGTGAAAATGCTAATTTTCATTAAAGTTGAGCTATCAAAAAGTAAGAGCAGTTAAACGTTGGATGGGAATACGCTTTATTACAATAGCAAATTTGTTAAAGACAAAATATGATTTTTAATAGCCACAGGAGCAAAATTCTACAATCTGACCTCAAATAAACTGTTTACTTTAAAATATTTGAATGGCTCTCATATCCAAACAGCAAAACCTTTTTCAAGATTTAAAAGGATTTGTCCACCTATCCCTTGTATTTATTTATCGATATAACAGTAGACAAAAGGAAAAACAAGTGGAATCATCCAAAAGTGGACTACAGATGCCAGATATGTGTAATTTTGCGTTTGCAGAGATGCGTTAGGGGAACATTGATCGCTACCATTGAGACCATCATGTTTCTACCGTTGAGCGAATGTGAGCATACGGCTGCTCTTTGCCAGGCAGCCATGGAAATGCGCTACGAAAATGTTCGTTCTGTTGCTGCATATGATGACGCCTCAGTTTTTGTCTTCACAAAGCGACCGAGGTAAGCACCAGCGGTCCTTCTCCTCTAATGCAATTCTTCATTCCATAGACCACTTTCTCTCTCCAGTACCTAACTATTATTATTGTTATCAGATCAGACTCACTCAAATTCTACCTACCTCTTACTTTTTCGATTTTTAAAACCTTTACTTTAAGAGAGAATCAGGAATGAATCAACCGAAGACGATGACAAATAAATATGCAAAGAAGAAGAATTAAAGGTAGTGGAATAAACGGAGAAGTTTGGACTTAGCAAAGATCGTAATATAACCATTTTAGACTTGTAACGCACATCAACTAAAAGCTCTCAAATTGATGTGTTTAATTATAAACTGACCATAGATTTAAGTGGTTAAGCATGAAAGCCAGTAGTAAATAAAGCACGTTGTTGAAAAATTTGTGACGATTTTTTGCAATTAGGATAAAAAGGTTTATTTGCAAAAGGCCAACAGAGGTTAAAAATGTTAAAGTTTGGGTAATTTTTCTTCCAGGCCTGTTAATATGAAGTTCTTACATGAAGACACTTGCTAAAAGTGTTACCTGTTATAATTACTTCCACATGCCCAGATTACTGAGACAATGCGCCGACGGCCCCCCCTCTGAGGAAATTGAGCACCACATTCTTTCCACGGCTACGTTTTCATCAAGCACCATAGCACCGGGTGAAGGCAAGTTCTTTAACTATTGGACTTGATTACGTCATGCTTCTTGCGTCCATTTGAATGCTTTCCAGATGAAATAATGATAACTCATAATGCAGTTGTTGTGATAAACGACTACGAAAACCATAAGTGGTGCCACAAACTAATATCCATAGATACTAACACAAACTGGTAGTTAATCTGCACTATAAACACAAAGTTTTACGCAATTTGAGTCATCTCGGCAGAACTTTGCCATTTGCAAACAGCACTGTCTAATATTGAATGCGTTGTTACGAGTCTGCGACAATTTCAGTAATCTCAATGCAATACTTTTGTGCTTTTGTTTTATGCATCCTACAGCAGCCTTTGCAGTAAATATGTTAAAAATTATCGAGAGGAAGGTAAAGTTATTGAGTGGTGCTTAATGAAACCAACCGTATAATTTTTTTCAATTAACTACCTGTAGAATATGCGTCAGTAAAGTAACAAAGCAGTGTGTGTCCATCCTGCATTCCCCTGCCAGGAATTGAATATGGAAGACTTACTGGGAATTTAGACAGTTGTCTTGAAACTTTATTACCTGTTACGCTATTCAAGTGCTAGAAGAGGCATGGCATATGGTTCAAATTATGAATACCATCCCTTTGAACAGTGAGCACATCACGTACAATGAAGTATTTTCCCAAAATAGGCATACGTGTTCAACAAAATCAAGCAAGATAGTTAATTTCCGAAAACAGTAATGTTCCAGTATTTGCATAGCATAAATTTGTTTTGCTCCCGCACATCGATTTAATAAACGAAACGTTCCGATGGCGTTAAATTGGGTCGTGCATGTCTGTCTTAATTTTTACGGAGGAAGTGGTTTGTGTAGTAAGTTAATCCATGGCATTTGTGGTGGCGATTTCACCACTTCGAGAAAATGTTGCATACAAATAGGCTAAAAGGCTCCTTTTGTTAAAAATAAAGGTAATCGTTTGAATTAATCTCGTGGAATTCACTGAGGGTTTTGTAAAAAAATATGACTTATTTTTCCACTTTTAAAAAACTGTTAGTTTTGACTGCTGTTTTAGCGGAACAGCCTTTGGGAACGGTGCTGCTGGAAAACGAGGCATTTCTATGCTGTACAGTCAGACGAAACCGACTGGTTTCAGGAGATTCCATTAGTCCGTCGTCAAGCCCAGCAGGAGCCCAGTGGTTCATCGTTTCCAGGCGAAGGTGTGCTTTTACACTTACACAGTTTTTCAGACAATGAGGTGTTTAAAGTGAAAATAGTGCAACGTTACTGACTGACATGAGAGCTTGCTAATTTGTCGTGCTTTTCTAGACCTCTTCATAAAATAGGAAACCCTTTCACACTTAAGCTGTTAAAATAGTTCCGCTGAAAAGAAATGCAGTTTATAAAGCTAATGTTCCTTGCATTGCAGAAGGTTAAACAAACCTGAACTGAGAGCTGAATTTGACTGCTCGTAATAGCGAATAAGATCCTTGGAATTTATAAAAGGTTGATTCTAATGAATATCCTTATCTTCACAAGGTTTCAAGCTTTTCTCTGTTTTGATTCACATAGACGCCATTTGTCTTGTTGCTGATAATACTACGGTGATTTATTCGTAGAAAGTGTGTTTCCTATTTGGAACAGTGTACCCCTTATTAAAGCGAGTAAATCAAACTATGCAATTTGATCCCTTTTAAAGTGGAACCTTTACGTCTATTTGAGACAGGCAATTGTTGTATGCCGAAGCCACTCTGACTTGGTATCACGCAGATCACGAAAAGGCGTGAATTTTGACTTACTTCGCATTTAAAATTTAACTGAGCATCAATAAATTGATTTGTTGTTCTTCCAGTGATCTACGAGGTTAATACATAAAGAACCTCAAAAGTGAGTTTCTTAGGCTTCATGTGTGTACTAACTTGTTTTCTTTAATAAGAAACCGCAAAAGTACGAAATATTATCTTTCCAAGTCCTTAATTCTTTGTAGGAGAAATTTCATTCTTTATCCGATACAATACATGGATGTAGGTAGATACTCCGATCTTACCGTCAGCTCCCCATCTTTTCATTTCCTAAATCAGCTAAATTAGTTTTTTGGGTCCTTACTGTTTCGCATACCGGCTGCAAATTTTCGTTTTATATTTCTCCCGAAATAAATCTGCTGATATTTTCTTAAAAGCTGATACAAAATTATGTCATGCAATAGTAAACATATTTGGTGCTCTGGGTATCCTCAGGGAAAGTTTATAACACTCACTTATCTACATGAAACAGAAAAGTAGGGTCCATGTAAATGACTTACTCGCTCAAGTAAAGAAGGGGCATAAAACGCCAAGTGGACCCCTCCTCTGTCCTCGCAGGAAAGTTACCTCAGACACACATCCTTTTCTTATTTCTCGATACTGATCATTGAACCTTTTTAGCAGACGCCGGCTTGAAATGGCATTTAGAAAGTGACATCCCATAATGTAATGGGCAATGCATTTGCGTGTAGCAAACTGCAATGCCATTCGTCTACAGCAGAGGCCTTCACAAAGAGCCACTGCACCCACAATTAATATGGCGGGTAACTTTACGAATATTAACATAAATTAGGTGATCAGACTGCAGTCAACCTTGGGAATAACAGTGTTTAAGACACTTTAGCTTATCAACGATATCGCCTAGAAACTGCGATAGGATCGTGATCGGCGGACAGGATGTCGATGCCGATTTATTTAATTTCATAAATACCTTTGGCATAAGAATTCTAATGAAAAATTAGGACTTGTGATGGGAAATTAGTAAGTCGACAGACATCTTTACCAAAAGTTTATGGTTAATACAAAGGGGATTGTGGTAAACTACTGAGTCTTTTATTTAAAGAGAGCGTATGCCACGTGTCACCAAATTATTTCACTCATTTGCTATTTCAGCATTGAAGACCTTGAAAAATTCCTGACTGGCAGTAATCTTGGCTTTGCATCTGTTATACCGATGGACAATTCATCGCATAAGATAATGGGAGAGAAGAACAAGAGAGAAAGTGAGAAGCTTAACAGCATTCCTGATGCTATTGGGTCACTCGTCGCTCGGCAAATGACCCTGCATTTCTGCAGTCCGGAGTCCAGCATCACCTCCTCACAGGGCTACATCAGCCGTAGTCTCGGCCGGCTGATGCAGCGCACCGCGTCTGCCCGCAGCAAAGCCAACTTCGTCACTGCCGGTGGCCCCATGAGTGAGCGACGCAGGAACCTCTCCGCAGGCTGCAGTGAGGAGCTGTTCTCCGATCACGCGGCGATCGATGTGAATTCCGTTGTCAAAAAAACTGGCGACGAATCCGACAGCATTATCTTTGATCAATCCTCTTCCAGCATACCGTCATTTGCTGATGAGAAGGAAGTCTTCGATATGCTGCGACAGTCATCTCTGGCTTGGGAGGTGCTTTTGTACATTTTCAGATATCTACTTTTTAATTTAGTTGCATGTTATAGCCTTTCAGGGCGGAGAATGGGTGCTTATTCCTGAGCCTTGTACAAAGATCTAAACGCTTTTGCGTTAATTGTTTTTTAATTCACCCGCAATTATTTTACGCACCTGAGCAATAAAAGCAAGTTCCTATGATAAAAAGAACAGGGAATACTTAGTTTATCCTGTGAATGGCAGTGCCTTTAAGTCATGCTAAGTTTTTCCAACTCTTAGCGATGGTAATACCAATTTCCACTCACAAAAAGGGATTTATTCTGGTGCAAAATATTTGTTGGAATAGACTTGATTGTTTTGTACTACTAATATGACACCTTATTCTACCGAATAATTTCTCTAAATATGACAGTAATCGTCTACTTGTTTTATTATCGAAATCTTTTCCTACTTTGAATTTTTCTACAAACAGCTGAACGAGCTCTGTCATATCACTCTCAGTAAAATGTGGTCTCTCTTCATTTCATTGCCTAAGAATACTACAGCCTATTCAACACTACGAACAGCTTTTGCTACGGGAGAGGTTAAAACATTAAAATGAGTTCCGCTTAAATAATTGACAAATGTGTTAATCGAATTGTGAAAGGCTGATGGGTTGATATGTTGATGGGAGGCAACATTGAAAGAAACTAAATTTCGGAAAAAGCTTAAAAGCTCACTTTCATCAAACTGTGATTGGAATAGATTAAAGGCAATTGTGGATAAGGTCACAGCACCGAATCAACCAGAGAGATACATGAGTTGGTGATACTATGAGAGGCCGAATACTCTTCCCTTAATGCACCTCTGCAGCCTAGGCTGGCTGAGGTTAGTGATGTGGCTATGGCTCACTCTCACCCGTCTTCTTCATTTTATTTCAGCTGGTTAGCGAGCAGGAGTTTATACAGACGTGTGTTCTGGCTGAGGGAGAGAAGGAGCAAGTTGGTAGCTGCGAGACAACAGAATCGGCAGTTTTCACTCTCCTCTCACCTCCTGCTTCTCTCCTACAGAGTTGCATCCTCACCAGCCAAACACAAGTTCATGAAGTGAGGATCACGCAATGTTTTGAAAGTTTGTTACTCTTTTGTCCTCCACTTTCTTAGTAACAGCGTCAAATGAAGCGCAAACCCAACCTTTGGTTCAGATCAATCCAGCCTCGATAGTGTCGAACCGCCTAGATTAGAATTTTTCAGTTGAGGGGATTTAGCTATATTTTCAATTATTTTAGTATATCCTTCAAACATTATTTGCGTGTAGGCAGATGACAATGATCATTTGTATGTGATTTACTAATACACTCCAAAAAGACCACAGATTATCCGTCCTCTCTGAGTATCTCCTGACCTTACTTTAAAGTTCATTCTTATAGCAAAAAATCCATTACAGTGTTATCAACTAATATATCGTCGTTATTTGATAATGGACTAAAGTTATCGAAGGGTTGCTCAGTAGCATTTGACAAAGTGATTTTCTTCTACACTTCCAATCATCTAGTAGAGAAAAAGATAGTTACTTGTGGTCTGAGTAATGCCGCCATTAAATTTGCACGATTTTTGTCCACCACCACGTGACAGAAATAGCGAAACTGTACGTATAACTATTAATATAAATGTGTATATCGTTATATGTCTATAAATTTATGATTATTCGAATAGGCATTCATTTTTACAATTATTTAACATACAGGACTTTGTCGAAAACACTGACCATTATATCCGAGTGCTGGTTTTTACGAGAGGTCGTCTTGAGGAGGGCATTATTCATTGAGACGGTGGAGGTCAAGGTTATCTTTTTTGCCTTTTGAGTTCCCTTTCCGAGATCCCATTGGATCCTTTGTTTTTACCAGCATGCTTAAGGATTTTTGCCTGGTGCTGTGACAAAGCCGTCGGACTTCGTCACGAGGGTTGCAACACACTCTTCACATTTTACTTTGTGCCGATCCAATTCTGTGGCTATTTAATATTATCTTCAGTGGCACTTACTTGGACGTTATGATTTAGAAAATAAAGACTATTTAGTGATCATTTTAACTCTAATCGTCGCTAGCTAAGCTCACTTTCAACTGAAAATTATGCATTCCTAATGTGATTACAAGTGATTGCTGGACAGTAGATAGCTTTTTTGTTTCCTCGTTTATTCTTTGTAACTTTTCCCTATAACGACAATTGACAAACCCCGTAAAATTCTTATTAGAGCAAAAAGATTTCTCAATAAATTTTCGCTACCTTCGCATATTACTTTTAAGGTTGTTCAGTGACTCGACGCATTACGGAAGTCCGATTTAAACTTCAGGGCTAAATAATTATCCCCGCTTTGCTATTTACACAAATAGAAAATTTTTAGATTGGATTTTTTATTTTTTTCAGGGCAATTGGTGTATTTTTGAGCGATACTTTGCAGCAAGGTTCTCAAATGAAGTAACAAATTCTTACCTTGAAAAAATTAATTAAAATGACTGATTTATGCGAGTTGGTTATAGAAGTTGAGTCCATTCCTGTAGTTGTTTATTTTAATGCGAGAATCCGATTGTGTGTAAAGAAGCCCTATTATGCGAAGACAACGGTTTGAACCATGTGAGAATTGAGAACAAACACAAATTCTCATGCTACTTTTCTCAGCACCTTATTTGACTACTAGTTATAAAAGATTGTGAGGAAAAGTATTTCGACACTGCCGCCTCAAATAAAGAGGCAGGTCCTATGGTGGATGCTCTTAAACTTATGCATAAAAAGCTCTAAACTACGATGTGGAACAAGGGTTGTCGAATGCTGGTAGGCTCTGAAACGCTTTCCTTGTCGTCTTAGAAACCACTCGCAAAAAATCACTCATTCTTCACAAAAGGCAGCTTATGGTGCAATTTACCCATTTAGTAAATCTATCCCCCCTTTTCAGAAGTCGTTTTTAAACATTTAAGGAAAGTCTGACGATTCGGTTATCCGGAATTTGAACGCTTTTGCAAAGACATGAAGATAATTCTTCAAACGCTTATAATACCAAAGCTCGCTTCCCTATTTGGCATCAATGAAAATCGTAGCCATTTCAAGTCCCGCGGTTCCCAAATCTTGAATAAACCATTTTACTTATAGGAAATAAGCTGTGATATTTTATGCATAATACAGATAACTCATGTTTAAAACGGCTGCACACAAGTGAAGGTCAGTATCAAGAACGGGATGATCCGCTCATTAATTTGGTTTGTGCATTATCGGCAATATTAGAGAATTGATTATAGTATACACATATTTATCATTTAAGCACATCTTCCAAACGATGGATCCTGGGATACACATTATTGAATTTTTCAATTTCTATAAGTCTTCGAATTTGTTTCCGCAACCAGTTGAATGCTTTTTGATATATTTTAGCAACGTCCTTCTTTCTATCAACTTTTTTTGCTAGCTTCTTGAAGCAATCCCTACGGGAGCACAGTTCCTTGATTGGTTCCTGACTTTCAGCACTGAGTTGCACGGCTTCAGTCTGAAGACACTCTATCGCCGTTGCGAAGACTTTGTCAGCGGTGACCTGCATGTTAACGTCGACCCTGACCCTTATCACACAGTTAGTAACGTCGAAAAAATGTGTACCTTTTCAAAGCAAAGAGCCTCTTCCATTGCGCAGCAAAACCAGCCCTGCGTCCTGCTCATCAAAGATACAACTGATTGTGTGAGGCTCAACCTATTACTATCCTGCACTCTAGGTCATTAGCATTGTTACTAAATATTCACAAAGTCAAAGAAAAATATCGTTTTCTTACTCCAATGAATTAAATATGTGCCTAAAAATTGTTCGCATATTTTTTGGTGGAGTAAAGTGTAGTGGAAGTGTAATTGATTATTCCTGTTGCAAACTCTTTTCAACCGGAGATAAAGTGAAAAAGTGATCTCCCTAAATCACGTTAATCTGTTATTCTTCCATCAACCCCAAATTACTGATAAAAGTTGTGGCCATGCAATACAAAGGATAATATTCTTTTTCAGAACACAGAATAGCCAGCGCCACCACACTTTTTATGATACGACTTGATTTTTACCACTCCCTCTAATCTCAAAAACACACTGCTTGGTAGGACGCATGGTTGCCAAACCACCTCTCTTGGTGACTCCGACCTCATAATTTCACAACCTTTATTAAGTAAACGGAAGCCATACTCACCTTTGCTTCCAATCGTGGGATGTAAATGTTGGCTTTGCTTCTAGATAAATTTTTTTTTCAAAGTACATGGTAATTAATGAAGCGTAACTAAGGTAATGCTTTGAATGTCTCAGTAGTAGGAAGAGTAAAAGGTGAATCATGTGGACTATTCCTTAGAGGGCGAGAAATCAAAGCGGCTGCCGAGAGGTTAGTCAAATTGCACGGCTAGTAAAAGCTTTTTATTCTCCACATTTGCTCTACAAACCGTGCAAGACACTCTACACCACTGCCAGCCGAACAAAACTGCATAGCTATCTACTGGAGTATGCAATCCATGTACAAGTTATTTAACCTCGTTAACTGTAGCACTGATGTTACCGATGAATAACTAGTGATTTAATTGTTCCATGACAGACTTTATCATTTTAGCTAATGGGAGCTTACCTAAGTTGCCATCCCCGGCTGAGCCGAGGTGTGTTTTATGGAACAGGCGAGTCTTTTGTCTTTCACTGGACCCCAGTTCCTACATCACCATGCATGGAAGAGAGTCAGAAGGGGGAAATTACTGGTTTGGCTTTGAAGTCTGAAAATCCGTGTTTCCGAGTAAGTTTAATTTCTTATGCTCTAAAACTTACAACCGATTTCAAGTTGCTCAATCTGTATACTTGTGACATAAAAAATAGAATTTATTCACCGGACGAATTTTAGGTGGCCATAAAAAATAGCTATGAATAATGCAGTCCAGACAAATCATTTTTACTGTAGATTCCAGTATGGGGTCACATGGATAGAAATAGCATAAACAAGTACGTTAAGTTTGAAGCGGATTATGGAAGCGGTGCACAAAATCTTATTTTTGTAAGCGTGGATTTTATGTCATCATTGAGATTTGTTTTATAGGGCTGACAATAACGAAATTATTTATTTCTACAGAATTTGTGGCTTATTAAGCACAAACATCTTTATAATGATTTAATGACAGCGGTTTCTTTACATAAATCGTCCCTTCAATCGTAGTAGATGTCACACACCTAACAGTATTTGCCAGATAGCTTCGGGCTTATGAAGATTTTTGTTCAAAATAATAATTATTTTTTTTTAGAAATACTCGTGGTCTAGGAAAAACTCATTCTTCATTTCCGGCGAACCCGAAGTCATCCTCATCGGGTGTTCAAAGTAAGTTCCAATGAAAGAAGCAATTTTCAAATATTTTCACGAGACTAACATTTAACACAGAATTTGAAAAATACTATATAAATAATTCACTTGCAAATTCATGTCGTAGTGCACTTGGAAATTGACCACTTTTTAGTTCAATACCACATTTTTCATTCCATTTGATGCCATTCCTGAACATGAGGTCAAAGTTCTGAGGAAATACGGAGGCTAAGCTTAACTAATTCAAAGGCTGCGATGCAAGCGCAGTGACCTGTGCTGCACTTGGCGCAACTCACGTTCTCGTGCGCGGCCTCAGCTCTACTTCGAGTGGCACATTTAATGTGGTGATTTTCAGGTAGCAGTAACTAAATTCCCTGAAGATTATAGGCTATAGGGATACATTGTTACAGTCTTTTGTGTTCTACGAACTCAAAGCGCTAGCTCCGCACTGAGGATAGACGAGAGTCTCAACAGAGGTCGAAGTCAGACCTGCGAGACCTTTGACAATCCCGAACTGACCCCGGGTGGCGACTTCTTCATTCACACAATTGAATTGTGGTCTCTCGGATAACCAGATTCTCTTCGCAAAAACTGCTCTTGACTCGATCATCCGCCCTGCTCACTTCAAAGTGTTGTGCGCTTCTGCTGTTGTCATTCATAGTTCATAGTAGTTCATAATCCCATGCCTTTCTACTTTCATGTTCAGAAAGATTCCGATCTCACAGAATAAACTTTTTGAGTTTGTGTCATTTTCGATCCCAACAGTGCCAGAGGTACTAAATCATTGCCAAACTCTTAGCGTAAGTCAGTAAAAATATCAAAAGGTATGCTTGAAATACCGTTTTAAAAGGTCAGTCTTACTGCAGTTAAAAAAATAGTTTTAATTTTTTTAGGATGCTGTGAAAATACCCCTCATTATTAAATGTTTGAATAAAGTTGACTGCAGTTTAAAGGGACATAAAAATGACATTGGAGATTATTCGTGTTAAAATCATCGGATACCATGTCTTCGCAACTGCAGGGCCAGAAGGACTACTCCAAAACCAACATTATCTGAAGGACAGTTGCAAATCCTAGGCATTGTGGCAAGAGGTGGAAGAATTTTTACCGACTTTGGTGTCTATAACTGTGACTTGTGTAAGTCATTTCCACATTAGATTTTACCTGCAACCGACAAAATTTTTCTGATACAGATTTAGACAAGACATATTTTGGATTCTGACGGTGTTATGTAATTAGTCATAATCAATGAAGTTCGCCTCTTGGGTCAGGTCAGGGAAAATGACTAGAATTTTTTTGATTTTGTTTTCCGGTACATTAACATTTCTTGTCCATCATTTAGTAGCATTTTGAGTGGAAATAGAGCGCTATTTGTACACACTCTACTTGGAAATTTGGTTTCAGTAAGTTACCACTTATTGAGAATAATTGGAAAATGAAATTTGACCTTAAACTACGTTGCCTAGACTTAATCCACCTAATAAGGCTATATTATCACTTACTACTGCCACAAAATGTGGTAAATGTACACACAACCGCGATGTGCTTACGATGACCACTTGTTTATACTGAAACAAAAGCAAGACGTCACGGACCATGTACTTGGAGGGGTGCTGGGTTTCTTCCACACTTTATTTGGCAAAAGAAGCTAAAACCCATTTGTAATTAATGTGAACAGTTGCTTAAAGAAATCCACTTTTCTGATAAAGGACAACTTAATCGTTGATATTGCCATGACAACCATCGTATGACTACTTTCCTTTACTCAAAGTATTTTATTGTTGTGATGCCAAGCCAGCTGGGTTTAAGTATTTAAATTCAATGAGTGATTTATGCGCTTCTACCTTAAGGTCTGCACTGGCAGATCTTCCGGATTTGTTTATTTTCTTTTCATTTTGGTCACAGTCATATCCACAACATGGCCTTTTAGAATTCCGGATCGCTGCAAAGTGTTTATCATCCAAAATGTGTTGAGTACGCGATGCTGCGGTTTCATGGTAATCAAAGCCACCTGACAAGATTAAATTCGCTTCCGTTTTCTGTGTTTAACGTGTTGTGAGCAATCCAGTCGTAGCATTGGGGAACGTGAACCACTGTAAGAATTCTCAGATTTATATAATTAGTTTGATTTTATTTGGTAAACACATTTCGTTCATATTAATAAGACGGATATACACTGCTTTAACATCAAGCCAACTACGAGTTTGAATTGCCTTCTCTGATAACACTGGAGTTTCGAAAACCTTCACATACATAAATTCAAGTACTTAGTTGTTCGAAAAACTCCAAAGGTACCGACTTAGCATGGTCTATGATACCAGGAAATCAAAGTGTCTTATTTGACGCAATTGATGTGCCGATGTCTCCTTACTTAGTACAGAGCAACAATATGTGGCTCGGGGCTTTCCTTTCGTTTACCCTTAGGTGCTAAAATAAAATCCGTGTAAAACAATTTTATGTCGAATATGCACTTTAGCTAACTTAATTTAATCATGAACAGTGGAGTTAGCGCTTTGTAAGTAGTTAAAAATGACCTGGACAGTCAAATAGTTTATGTAAATTCTCCTCTATATACGGATTAAATTTTGAAAATAGGGGATTCCGCGGAGTTACCATAGTTAAGTGCGCAAAAGAGAATTCAAAAGGGTACTTTGCATACGTAGCGTACCCTAAAAACAATGCCTTTAGAAACATTTTACTTAAAAACATGCAATTAAAGGTCCACAATTGTTGTCACAAAACTGCAGCTTAAAAGTCCTTTCCATTGCATTCTTTACTCATACCATTGTAGTTTTACTGTACACTCTTTATTAACAAGGCAGAAGTTGGCACATTCTTCCAGAAATAAACACTAGGGATCAGAAGGTCAAATGGGTAGGCAGAACAGTTCTAGCATAATTACACCCTCAAATATTTAAAGAATACATTGGTGATGAACGTATTTATAAGCAAGGACCTAAAATGAGAAGAGAGTGATTTGAGCGTGTTAGCTGGGTGTGCAAATTAAAACCTACCTTTGCTAAAATACGGTCCTAACGTAGCCTCTTCCAGCGTAGAGGTAAGCTGAGGAGACGGAGGCGATGATACCAAAACTTCAGAATCGTTACCTGCCATTTGATCACCTGTGCCAGTTAGTGGTGGGTTGGGAATGAATGCTTCCGTCACCTCTCCCTGAACACCAACAGATTGAGCTCGTGGACTTGGCTGTTGATGTTGCATGGAGTTTTGTACATTCTTCTTCTTTCGAGCTCTGGCATTTTGGAACCAAACCTTCAGGCAAATTTATCGTGACACCAAATGAGAAATACGCGAGGATAATGGACACTATTATGCCACAATATTTACATGGGTGGGATACAAAATGACTTGGAACCAAAAGAAACGGAAACCACATAATTCGGGATTTTGCTGTAAATAATCTGGGCATTTTGCAAACTATTCGGGTTTAATTGGAGTAGTCGAGGAGTTATTAAAATCCTACTAACAAAACTTTTCTGTACTACATCACTGGAGCCAAACTAAAACGACATCTCCAAATTAGCCATTTTCACTGTTTCATTTTCACCATACAATTAGTATCAGGGGAACCCAAAGTACAGCCGCAATAAAAGTAAAATAATCATATTTTCCACTTAATAAATTTTATATAAGTAATTGATTTAACAAATGCCGCTTGTAGCCTGGAAATAAGGTTGCATTTATCAGTAGTGCGTGCATAATCTTGCATTGCCAAAACCCGAGTTTCCAGCTTACTTCCCTAGCCCGCCCTCAGCATTAATAATTTTATTTTGAAAATTGGTCTTAGACCCCGAATCGCGGACAATCGAATGGTACCCCTTGAGATTTCGCAATAATTCTTATGTTTAGATAGGTACCACAGAGTAGACTAGTCACTCTAACCTTTACGATGGAATTCAATGTTCTCCCACCTAACGGCGCGCTGGGCTAAATATAGCAACCCACCTCAAGCGAGCACCAAGACGTGAGCACTGGCTCTCCGTGGGCGCAATAGGAGGAAGTGGCAGTGCGTGGAGCAGGTAGTCAGCCAATCACACACAACTGTACGACGTCTGTGAGCCTTCTCAGATTGCTTGACGGGACAGACTCTCTGCGATCTGTCACGTGAGCTGCGCTTTTAGGTGTAATATTTGCCTCACATTGGGAATACGCTCTGTGTTAAGCAAAAGCACGCCAGAACACCTATTAGAATGGGAGCCTTTTAACTTCGCTAAGCCGCAATCGGTCTTCGTCTGTCTAGGGAACCAAAACGAGCAACCCTCATTTTTAAACACGATCGCTAAGAGGAATCGTCACAAGTTACAGGGCATAGGGAAAGTAGAATGCTATTTGAATACTCTTTTCCAAAATTTTTAAACAAGTAAGCTTATGTTTTGACTACAAATGTCTTCCAATTTGCGGGCAGTTTATTTCGAAATGGGTAAAAGAATTTCGGGAATGGTCTATCAACAAGTTGTAATCTAAATAGAGTGCGGATGCTTATAGGACTCCTGTAATCTACCATTGTTAAAAGTAGAACATTTTGAGGCTCTCTTGGAAGGACCTGTGTCTTTTTTAGATTTAGAAGCATCAGCTTAAAGCCATAATCAAAAGTTTTTGAAAAATGCCAAAAAGTAGAGTTTAACTCTGGCTTCATGATTGGTAAGTACAAGTTTTGAGTTAAAGTGCTGGAATTGTAAGTTACAGTATATTAGTCGATCTTTGCTTCAGTGATAGAGAAACGACTCATTCTTGCATACTATCCGGGCTCGTCAAGTGGTTCTCAGATGATATCAACCACCTTGGCAGTACTTTTGGAGAACTTAATACACAGCTATATCTCAGGTGTCTGAATAGCTTTCAAAGAGCACGACTGATGCTTCTGCAGCATGAAGCAAAATTTTACATTTCACTCCAGTAATTTAAAGTGTTAGGGTGCCCTGAACTCCTAGCTTTGGATGTAAGAGACCTGCAGCTGTATGCTCCGGGGATTGGGAGGTTGTTAAGATATTTGAGTAGGCAAGTTGCCTACTGCCTTGATGTTCACCGCCCAGTTTGCCACTAATCTAATCGCGTGTGCCAAAATTTAGTTCGATGCAAACTAGACACACCCCAAATCAAAATGTATGCATTATTAGAACAGCCGATGGCACCAAAAAACTGGCTTGTTAAAAAAGAGGCACAAATGTTTCCTATATGGGTCTAAAACTTGATGCTGGCTTAATGTTACAATAAGCTTTTTTTGCTACCACCTACTGTACTTCAACTCAAGCTCAGTGCATCACTTCATATTAAAAGCATTGCCATCGGTTTGGTTAATCAACACATCCTACTAATTTGTATTGTTTTGTTGAAGTTTTAGAACAGCCGGCAAAAAAACAGTAGTTCGGTGACAAGATCGCACTAACAACACGACAACCCTCATTTAACGTGGCGCTTTTTTCATGTTAAAAGAAGCAACATTTGTGCATTGTTAAATCCTACTAGGTTGTAGATGATTAATTAGGGATATCGCTTAACTGTAAGATGAATAAATAAGATCCTTTGGATTTTTTTCCTAAAAGATTGTGGGAAATCCACCCGCTGTTGTGGAATGTTATATTTTCCATCCCTTAATTAAGATCTATTTTATCTTCAGTTTACCTACTGAAATTGTAATAGTAAAATGCACATTGGGAAAAAGTCCACCTGCGTGACGCGTTTGGTTAGAGAGGTGGCTTGAGCAATACGTTCCAATTCCTGTCCGTCAGGATTCGACACCGTTTTGAAGCTGGCCTGCAACACTGCAATCTGTTGTGGAGTGAAGCTGGTACGAACTCGCTTAGATCGCTGTTGGGGACCGCTGCTAGCGGAGGTGGATCGCGAGGAGGGTCGCTGTTGTTGCTGAAGGGCATGACCTTGATGTCCATGACTTTGGTGAGTGAATGAGCGGAGTGTAGTAGCTGGGATCTTCCCATTTTCATCAAAAACAGTGACTTCCTCAAATGCGAGCTCTGATCCACTTGAAGTTCGGCCCATGGAATTCGGTTTGGATTGAGAGGATTTGTCATCTGCACATAAATTGATGCATGACGTAGTATCACATGATATCCATCAATCTTGAGCAAATTCTAATTCTTTACAAGAATTTTATTTCTAAGCATATCATTTCGATAAATAGCATAACTTTGATACTCTTCCATCTGCTTGATCGAATCACTAATTGCCAGTCTCGCAAAATTTCTGCATTAAATGCGTCACCAGTGGACCCTAGCTTCTATCATATTCAGAGTTGGCTTCACGCCTTCTTCCATACTGCTTAATGAATTCCTTTGCTTTTAAGGTAATTTTGAATCAAACAATGTAAGAAACTGAGAGTGCATTTAAATGAGGAGCAAGCGCCTACATGTCGTTCCACCAATTAAGTATGGATGGTGCGTAACACACCGCATTTTTACCCGATACTAACAAAAATTGGAACTACACAATTTGTGAATATATTTTAAAGAATCACACTTCCATTCAGTTTCGAAAATAACGTCTTCTAAATGCTGCTCAACGAGGTTCTTCGCGTAGGCATTTAGTAATTACATTATAAATATCAGAATGCATAACACGCTTTTTAAGTACTGGTGTACTAACGCATTCAAAATAAGACAGAAACAGACTGAAAATCTAATCTGCTACCTTTAGGAGTATCAGGATACAATTTTTAGGGAGTTTTGGATCTCCTATACGCGACAAATTGCATAATGCCTATTAATACAACATTTTATGGTTTCGTAAGAACATGACAATTTTATTGTTTGAAGTCAATATAAATTTAATCCTCCGGAATACAGTAACTGTTATGCTAAAATAAGGCGTTGGTAAACTCTAACTTGTGGAAGCTGTTGGCTTGAGGCATTTGCTAATTAGACGTTTACCTCGTGTTTAGGCCAAATAGGACGCGCCTAGCTAATAAGTAGTTAGTACCTGCTGAGTGTGGAAATGAATGAAAAAGCATGTTTTAATGTCTAACCCACTTTCCTTAGTCAAGGGCCACGTCTGCCCTTTATGCTTGGCTGAGGTTAAAATGGTACTTTGATGCGCCAGTAAAGCTTTGACACTATAGTATGCTGGTAATGAACTTTAGACTGTCAATTGGCATGACTTGGCCAGGCAGACTTAGTGACTATAATTAAAGCGACAGCCATCGCACAACTATGACAAGTTTGTCAATGAGGTTTAATAATTTTTCCATGGTAAGAAAATGCTTAATGTCAGAGAAATTATTTACACGTACAAATAATTGAAGCAATACCCACCAAAAACATTTATGTACATACTGTGGAAGGTTTAAGTGACGAAAGTGCTTTGCATCATAGGAGGATACTTTACGTATAAACGAACCTCCGTCGAAGAATTCTTCAATCAAAGGGTTTTCAATAGAGTCAACATTTGTTCGCCCTGGATCACTCCACGATGTCTCTGGAAGCTCCGACTGCGGCTGCACAGATGCAGGTGGTGGAAGCGGACGGAGGTGCCAGGCGCAAAATACCTCACCTTTAGCAAAGGCGACATATTCACCAAATTGCAGTCTCCAGTTGCAGCGTGCGCAGGTGAAGCAGTCCAGGTGGAAGACGCAGTCGAATATGCGTTGTACCAACGAACCCTGTGGCATTCGAACCTTGCACTTGGCGCAGTGCGTCATCCTGCAATGGTTCGGGAGAAGCTGTTAGTTATCAACGGCGATTAGAAGCACGCAATGACATATTTTGAGAAGTCGACTTTGTTTGAAGTTTATTCCATTTGATAATGGTTATTTGTTTGTATCGTTGTTAGAAGGAAATTGGGTGCCTACTTACATTTAAGCGCTCTTGCTTTTCTGCTGGCGATATTGGCGTAAAAAGGCGAAAACACTATATTCATAATGTGCTGGTAAACTAAAAATTCCAACGTTATTCTGGGAGAGTTAACCTACATTTTGTAGCACGACTGGCAAAGTACTCCGAAGTGACGGTTAGCCCAACATCTTCCGTAAGATTCGTCCAACTGGAAGCCGCACCGAGAGCAACGCAGACAAGTGACATGAAAATGGATTAGTTCTCCATCACCACCATCACTCGAAGCTTGCGAAAGTCCAAGAAGAAACTCGGAGTAAATTGAGCAATGGCAGTTGGCACATATGGGGAGCGTGTTTTCTTCATGCAATTTGAATTTTTGCATTGTTATCACAGTTGGTGAGGAGGCAACTGGAAGCCCTTGAGTGTAATAGTGTTTTCTTCATCAACATTCACAGTGTTATAAGACGGAACATAAACGGTACCAAGTGCCAAAATGATCAGTAAGACAGAAATTTTTTAGAAATGCTATTGTGCTAGATAAATGGAATAAAACAGAATCACCTTGCTTGCTGAGGTTTTCACAAAAGACCCAATTTTATTTATTAATAAAGTTAAGTGCAGCACGCTGTTCAATATTTGCCAAATCCAATAACGATGCACGTCAAAATAGTCATCAATTAAAATGAAACATCTTAAGTCTCTAAAGAAGTGATTGTAAGGCATGGACTCAGTGTTCTGTTTGTGTCCACTTGAATGAAGTTCCAAAAAAGGCATGTAATACGAGCAATAGTGGCGGTAGACTGTTTATACCTGTCTAGTTAACATTTCCAAGTTTATGTCATTACTAAAAGGTGTAATTAGCTATTGTTAGGCTTTTAGAGTTGTTACTTAATGGGGTTGCATTGCCTCAAATGGGTAATGCAATCGCTAACGGCTCACTGCATTTGAGAGTAAAATTTTTCTGACAGATTTTAAACATATTGGTACTGTATATTTGTGAATTAAGTGAAGGACAAGCTTAAAGAACCTCGTGTTTCATTTTTGCAAGTATGCTACTAAATATGTTGAAGAGGAAATCTACGCCATAAAAATGTCAAATATTTGTCACGGTTTTTCGATTTCACATTCGAGGTCAATGGGCAGTATTGCAGATAAGAAACGCCATTAATGAATTGACACTCACCGGATATGCATGTCAATCAAACGAGAAACATCTTTCGCTGAATCCTCTTTTAGCCGGTGGTGCGCTTCATTAAAAACAGGTCACAGCCGCAAGTGTCCGCAAACCCACTCAAACTGACCAATGGGCGTGGCCTTGCTTCCCCCCTCGCTCGCCCTTAGAGGAAGTGTGCCGTCCCCTCCCTGGGTTGGAACAAAAGCATGGGTGAGACTGAGAGCTGTACATTGGCGTGAGCGTGCTCTTGAGCCCACTGACTCCCCCTTCTTCTTCTTCTTCTTCCTTCATCACCTTTCTCCCTTCTCCCTCTATCCCCTTAAATGCGTGCTCGCGAGGGCTCAACGAAAATAACCCCGTGGTGTGCTCTTCTAATTAGACTGCGATGATGGTAGGAGAGCTAGAAGGACGCGAAATTCACGTGTATCATAATGTTATCATCAAATACTTGCGTGTTGCTCTATCTAATGCAAACATAGATGCCGGACATGTCGGCATGCTGGGATTCAAACTAAATTTCGAAGCGCACATCACGCAATGTGAGCATAGGTTCATAAAAACGACAGAAGAAAAGGTTAGAAATGTCTTCATTCTACAGAATAGAATAGCCGACAATCAGTTTGTCGAAGTAAATTATGAAAAACAACATCGGCTTTCCCATCAACTTACTCGTTTTATTACATTCTATTGTAATTAAGATTAAAACCATATATTACCTTACCTTTCCTGTGTCATTAAAGTGACCTACTCAAAATCTGTAAAAGCTGCAGGTACGGGCGCTGAAGTCGTATTTATTTACCACTTCCTTGCAAATATTTTGAGGTTATTCTAACATTCGAACCCTATTTCAGGCATTGTCCATGGAAGTTTTTTTAATGACATTCTCAGAGCGGGATGTGGAGAAGGAATCAAAAGCGCATAAATTAAATATCGGTGATGTCAAATTTTTCCTGTTTCAGCAAATCACCGAGAGGGTTGCGCATTTCATTTACTATATGGTTCTCTCTAGCTCGGGGCGTAATTAGCTCCTTTGTATCATAAGAGCATTGAAAAGCCAACAAAAATTGCTTTCAATCAACTACTAAGGCCAATTTAAAAAAAGGAGGAATCCGGAGCTATTTTTGATATTTCCCCAAAAAATTTGCATCCATTTTACGCACATCGGATTCACATTTTGCCATTAAAAGTCGACTTATAATTTAAGCCACTTAGCCATCACCCAGATTTAAAAGGAGAGCACTCGCTGTCCACCTCCTCCATTGTTATGTAAATCACAGATAAACTGCGTCATTTGAAGAATTTCTGCGAGTATGTTGTGGTCACCAACATTCGAATTGTTGTGCTGCGATTTGGGATTCTTAAAAGGATGGAGAGAAGCTGCACCCATGTTCCCTGGGGAGTGAAGTGGTGGGTTTAATTCACGTCGAGGCAGACACGTCCTTTTTCGCTCTTGCCCCCTCCTCAACCCTGTTGCCTACCGCTACTATTCTCTTCCTCTCAACATCTCTGTCTCATCGAATTCGCCGCAGGCTTCCAGAGTTGAAGGTGATTGAATTTTCGAGCGGGCTTGAAAATCTAAAATGCCTTTGTGGGCTCTTAGAACCCTGAGGCTATGTAAAGTAGGACCTATCCTTGAAACAATGCATATTTGCTGACTGAATTAAGGTCTTCCATTTCGTTTTTGTTTTGTTGAAGAGTACATTGTAAAGTAGGTTTCTTCAGCCTTCGCTCTTAGAATCACAAGACAGCTATTAATGAAACTACAGTTTTGTGGTTGTTTTGAGCCTAAAGTAGCTGATTTTACAAAATAAATAATAATATTATTAAAACTATCAAAATCGTGGATGATTTTTATCGACACTTGAACACGCTCTGAATTGAAGGGAACAACTAAATCATGCAACCATAGATTCACATCTTGGTCTCAAAGATGAGTGCTTGGCATTATTTATTCTCAAACGCACTTTAACTGAAAATATCCGTAGGATGTGTGGTTAAAAGCTGCTGCCCTACATCGACAAAATGATGGATTTCCACCTGACAGTACTTGACTTAAACTCCAAGGCATAAACTGATGTAAGTGTGGAATAGTGTTCCTCATCAGGAGACATTAGCTCTTTGGCACGTCTTTTCGCAGGATAAATCGACAACTTTCTTTTTTTTTGTGAGTCTTTTGATAATTTCACCTATAGCAATGGTATATTAGAATGAATCGGTTAATCGTATTAAAATGGCAGAAATGGTATGGTGAATTAGATGACTGAATTTTTAAGAAATTAGATGAGTAGTTTAATGTAAATTAAAGAGTTTCGTCACGTCTAAAAGCTTGTAACGTTGATTGGTCATTCAAAGATGGTAAAAATGGTTTATCTCCTTTATCTACTATATGACGCCAGTTTTCTCAGTCTAAAGTATACTGACTCTCAAGTTAGTGGCTTGTGGCTCTCTTCGCACTGCTAATGCTGTTAGCTTCTTGGCCATTCAGTGTCCCTTTTGTAAAACAAATTTCCACACATCTATGTACGTGACTAACACTGAGGGGGTGATTCGGGTGCCACTTGAACTTGGACTGATGGATAGCGGCAGCTGACCAATAGAATCGCGAATTGAAAACAGCCCCCACATATCCTGAATTGTAGGTGAAAGTGGAAGGGATCGCTTTCCCGAAAAGATCCGATTTCCGGAAGCCTATTCTTTACTCACTTTGTGTCAATTTAGTGGCATTAGTTTTTCCCTGACTAAACAGCGCAGTTTGGAATGAGGCCTTACCAAAGTTGACAATACCTACATAAAAAAATCAGGGGTGATAACCTAATCAGTGCACTTTTTCGGCGCCAAGACCCACAATGGTGTTATCAAGACCGAAATACTTATTATTTGGAATGTAATACTGTCAGGTCTCTCATCTCTTCGAACCACAGCCTTCGTGTGACGCCAAAATAAATCGGTTATGAAATTATGGGACTGTCTATTAAACAATTAGGACAAGAAGCCGCTATTGAGACTAGTAATTGAAAAGGATTTCATTTTCGACTTTTTATTTTTATTTTAGACTTCAAATCAACTTATTTGGAAATGTCAAGTTGAATTTAGAATGCAGTATTTCTGAGTTAATCGACTCAACTAAGAAGTTTAAGAATTAGGTAGAGAAGCACTTCATGCTTGATAAACGGAAGTTTTCTACGACTTGCGGATTAAGCTGTTGCAATTGGAAACATTTCGTGAATTTTACAATAGGCAAGTTTTAGCGCGTTGGAAATCATGCTACCGGTTCATTCAATAATGAATCGTTTTTTGGCCACAATGTTCCGATTCGACAAGAAACATTACCATGAACTGCATTGTGATTAATTGATTCCTTATTTCTGCTGCCACACCCTGACAAGTCTCTATAAACAGATTGCATAACAACCAATCGCATATAATGGGTACTGAAAGAATCATGCATTTGCCCTGTACCGTCATTTTACTAATGCAGCAGGCTGTGGTCTACCTCCTGAAAATACGACCAAAATTGAGTTCCCTCCTGGCAAGTTACAACCTTACTTGCCACTCCATTGGTACGACAGACGACTCGAATGAACTGAGGCACCGATGGACTCAGCAGAGAGGTGCCCTGATGACTGGATTGACAACGATCCAGGCGAACTTCATTGTTGTCATTGAGGCACAGCGAAAGCGTCCTGCTCCGGAGACCACACTGTTTCAGCTTTGTGCCTACTATCTCGCCTTCCTCGACTTTGCGCTGCACAGCTTTCAGCGTGGACAGCAACTTCTGTTGGCGTTCCCTGACTTGCCAAGGAGTGGCATTAAGGAGAGCCGAATCCAGGAGCTGCCGAGTTTGGCCTCGCAGACTACCTCCGTATCAATCACTGTTATCAGCGAAAAAGAGCGAACCAATCTGATAGCTGATGTGACCACCATCAAGCTGTGCCGAAGTACCGTCAAAGTAGGTGCAAGTTCCCACTTGACACCATGAATCGATCTGATTTTCATAGACAACCTAATCACCTGGATAAATTTGTTTACATTTTAAGCAGATTTGTTGCATTTGAAGTGTTGAATGCCATCATTTTAAACTCTAATGGAATGCAAAGAAGAAAAAGCTGGATGAAGATGGGTACATTATGCTCTGTTCAATAATAACATTCTTCGTAGAGTCCATTGCCCCTTTATTATAGTTCCATTAAAAAAAAAGATAGCTTTTCATCGCTTGATGGAGTTGAGACGGTTAGTAATTTAATCAATTTCGTCCGCAAATTTCGGTATTTGTAAAATCTATTGCTCTTACTTCTATTACTCGTCGTGTTGACCTGGTTCAAGCATAGTGACGGTTTTCACAACAGACTCTTTAGCTACACCCCCACTTCGCTCTGTATCAAGAATAAACTTTCTAAGGCTAATGTGTGGTGTGCGGAGTCACATTATTGAGTAAAGTAAGCCAGGATCCAAATCGCAAATTATATGAAACGTAGGTATCATTACTGTTTTTTATCTGCAGCTCCTCAACAATCACCTAAGTTCTAGATACACTGCCGCAAATAGAATTTCGCGGCTGCTTTCCATCGTTCAAGCAACTGTTTCCAGGCACAGAGCATCTCGAGAACATAGGGATTCTACCTGGTCCGAATGGCGCATCGACACACCCCATGAATACACCCAAGCAAACAATGCCCCTCGTAATGAGGAAAAGTCACCATGGATCAGGGTAAGAAGCAACAAGCTGTTTGCCTTCTCAGCAGTCATTGCAGCTAGTGTACTCTTAATCTCCGTGTTTGTGGTAACATTTGTATTCGTATCAGTTGGATCGCAATAAAGGCATTAATGAGTTTTTCTAAACGATGAGTCTTGATCTGATTAACAGAATCCCAAATAACGGAGTTCAACAATAAGCAGATAAATCTGAAGGTTTTATTAAACTTGGATAAAATTAGAATGCACACAAATATTTCTACCTCACTACGATCTCAAGCTCCAAACTCTTGGATCGAGAGGAATGTTTGGATGAAGACATCTAGCATTCTGTTCGACTTCAAGGGAAAACCACAGTTTGAATCCTCGTGGAAGTCGATAATGGCTTCAGAGTCACAAAATTGATACAAGTTGCCAGCTTGGCAATAAAAAATTGCGTATCCAAACAACCATCTGCTATAATTCATTGCCGAGTCATGGAATACCTGGGAAGGCGTAAACGAGAAGGCATAAATCACGACAACTGGACAACCCAAGTGACTTAAAGAACCATTACTACATAAAAGTAACCAATTCCGAGACAGTGTTTATAAAGAAGTGCTTTAAGAGTTCAAAAGGGCCTGGTATTAAGACATGTAAACAAGTTTCTTGCTAAAAACGAACTAATGTACAGTTTCATGATAGATTTAAAAGCGTGGCAAATAGCACTAACATATTACGGCAGTACCATTTAGGGAGAAGTTAGTTAAAACCAAATTTTTGCACTTATTTTTAATTGCAACCCAAGACTTACATGGATTCATACCTTAAAATACTTATACATAATATTGATGCAGCAGTAGTAATTCCTTCTCTCTAATGGTAAATAGTAATTATTGTATATAACTTAAAATTAAATAGCACAAAAATATTTAAAGGCATAATTCAACGGTAAAAGCGTGTTACTGTGACCAATACTTCCACTTCTACTAGGAAAGTTGACTCTAGTTTTTTTTGTTTTAACTAATAGATTTTTAGCCACTGGCCAATAACCGTTGTCCACCACTTCATTACAATATTTAAATAGGTGTGCCTCGCCCCTGTCGCAAAAATGTTCAGAACACTTTTATTTGCCCTACTTTTCCACTTGGTGTTTGGTACCGATGTGATTCCCCTAACAAAAAAGACGAGAAGTGAACTGTCGAAGCATCCAGTTGCACTCGTGAAGTACTACGCGCCATGGTAACTTATTTTCTTCGACGTGGATCTGTGCTTACAGGTGTGGCCGTTGCAAAGAACTTGCACCTCATTACGAAGAAGCGGCGGCGGAGCTCAAAATCAAGGAGCCCTCTGTACCTCTTTTCGAAGTTAATTGTGATGAGGAAACGGATATGTGCAACGAAGCAGGAATCAAAGGTTATCCAACCCTCAAGGTGTATAACTATGGCGAATACGCAGAAGAATTCGATGAAGGGCGAACAACGGGTAGGAAACACTCTATACATGAGTTTACTCATCAGAAAATATTGTAAATTTTATGGTTCTGCGCTCCGGGCCCCCTGCTACTGAAATACTTGATGAGAGTCGGTATAAGGAACTATTCGAAGGTGAAGACTACATCGTTTCACTTCAATCTAAGAAGTCTGACGAGATTGACGAGTTTGAAAAACTTGCACGGAAGCTCAGAAAGTTCTTTAAATTTGTTTATACGAAGAGCAGTTTTTTGAGCTCATCGAAGGATTCGTAAATATTCGTTGTTTCAGTAGTTTCTTAGGCTTATCCAACTTTCACTGCCGAAGCAACTGGAGACGAAGTTAGAGGACAGGTCCAAGACATACGATGGCCCATTAAAGTCTGCTGATATTGAACAATGGATAAGGAAAAATGCGTAAGTCAGCCGTCAAAGCGGTTATTCTCTAGTGTTGGGACTGCTGGCATTCGTGACAAAAAGATGAAGGAGTTTTTCAAGAAGCCTTTGTTGGTGGTATATACTCAGATTAACTTCGAGCGAAACCCGTCAAACGTTCGCTATCACAGAAACCGTTTAATATCGGTCGCAAAAGATACCAAATCCGAGTTACAGTTCGCTCTTTCGGACACATCAGCATTTTCCGATGAGCTGTATGAAATGGGTCTCACCGCAAATGATGAAGGTGCTATGGTGATTATTATGGGAGAAAATGGAAAGAACTACTTGATGAGTGACAAATTTGGGTATGCTGCAAGTTTATTGTAACTAGCGGTTCCTTTTAGTGTGTCAGAGTTGAAGAAGTTTGTGAGCGACTTTGCTGCTGGATCTCTTGAACCATATATAAAATCGGAACCGATACCAGAGAAGCAAGAAGGTAGTGTCATGAAGGTTGTTGGAAGGACGTTCGAGAAGGTCGTTCTCGACGAGTCAAAAGACGTTCTTGTTGAGTTTTATGCACCCTGGTGCGGACACTGCGAAGCCCTGAAACCTAAATATGAAGAACTTGCCAAAAAACTTTCAAAGGAAAAGGATGTAATTGTTGCTGCAGTTGATGCAACAGCGAATTCCTTTCCACCCGCTTTCGATGTTCAAGGATATCCAACTATCTATTGGGTTCCCAAGGCTTCCAAGGACAAGCCTATACCATATAAGGTACGCTTGAGTTATTCACCTAGTTTAGTATTTAGGGTGGTCGCGAGGTTGATGACATGCTGAAATTTGTTGCCAAGTCGGCAACCGATGAACTGATCCACTACACCCGTGACGGCCAACTAAAACAGGAAGAATTATAGGCATCTAAATACGTCGTGGTTTAACGGTTGTTTTCTATTCAACTTCATGTGTGTTGATAATAAATATGTCTACTTCGTTCCATACACCTGTCATTTTTTTTTTCTAACTCACCAATAAAACTTATTCTGTTCTTATTATAGCAATTCCTACCGGTTGGTCGGTGCCCCAAATAGATGTTAGTTCTTGGTGCCGATTGGTTCTCGTGGATCATTATAAAGGGTAGTCTAGCACACACATCTAGTGCCTTGATGCATGCCTGTAATTGATCACGTGATCTGGGAGGCTGTTTCAGGATTGCCCGCATATGACCGAGTACCCAACTGTCTACAAAGTGGAGTGTGGTTGGTTTCTTCTTGTCTTTGTTTGACGCACTTTTGGTCCAGCTGAAATAGTTGGCAAAGGCCTGGAAGTAGGATCGCTTAGGCGGTTGCGCCACCGAGCACTAAGGCGTTGATACATGAGCGGTGTGGGCATTCTTTGTCCGACGCGCGTCTGCAGCGTTGTGGGTAAATGGGAATAATCTACTGGATAAGTGAAAGATCCTGAGATCGTGAATCCCCTTCGGTGCGATCGTTTGCTTAGCAATCTTGGGACGTTCTTATTGGCGTTAAGTACCTAATTTTTGGACGCCTACTGCTGTTTTGACTTCCATCTGATGATAGAAGTATGGTTTACCCACTTCTAGGCTGTGGGGTGCTATACGTCACTACATTTGTGGCCCACGGTCAGGCGAATAGACAGGAGGCCTCTGAACGCCGCGAAGCAATCGCGCCGCGTGCGCTCCGTCACCCGATCAGCAGAGCGCACGCCTGACGCTGCGTGGACCCACACGACTGGCGGATCTCGAGCGCTATTGCAAGTAGTAACTCATCTGCAGGTTTGATGAAAAGATTGTTTTCCAAATGTTGCTTTTCTTAAATAAAATTCAAAAAGACGGCTGGCAGGAGATCCACAGTTCGAAAGCTAACATGCACATTGATAGTGGAGTTAGGGTTTTGCAGGCTACCGCAATAAATCATGGAAATGACCTCGTTTTGGACGGGAATAACATAGAGTACCATGTAAGAGACAAGAGATTTGGTTATGCTATCCAAAAAATGGCGCAGTATTACTACCAGACTATGTGATATTGCAAGCCGAGTATATAGTGAGTTGTACTTAGAAGTTCAAATAATGAATTAACTAAGGAATTTGCTTATCTAAGCTCGGCAAGGTGGCACCACTAAAATTTAGCCACTTAATGACTTTATTGAAGAAGTGCGTCCGCTTAAGTATCCTCGGAAATTTGTATTTCAAAACCGACCAAAGTCTTCTTCGAAGCCGCAACAAGTAAGTCGCCTACAGAGGAAGCAAGGGGTATTAGCCCAACCCCGAGGCCATGGGAAGAAGCAGTACAATCAACGAAAATTAGAGTGTCGCGTAGTAAAACAGCTAAATAACATATGAAACCGCTAGAAATAGGGTCTGTAGTGTTTCGAGCCCATCATTTACTCACCACAACTCCTAATATTTCTGCCAAATCAGATCATTGAACCCTTTTATGCCACGTAACGAAATATTCATACTTGCCTGTTTCAATTTGCAACCAAAGATTGAAAAAAGATTGTTTATTTGTATACATCTACTGAAAACACGTAACACACCTTTCACGTTTTAAACACGAAGGAGCCACCCCACGAAAACATACAATCACACGGATTATGGGTTGTATTTCTCACTACAAATCTGCTATTGGGCAGTTAGATAAATGCGATGTAATAACGAATTAATTGTCCGCCTAAATCAAAATACAGAAACTGTAGTGATTTATTCTTGTTTATTCTAACTTCTAATTTTGGCTTCACGCCTTTAGATTGAAAATTCTGATTAAAGAAATGCATGCTATGGTTTTGCAGTGTGAGGTGTTCAGGGGTGATCAAATTTGCGTGAAAGACTCAGTGTTTGTGTTCAGACCGTGATCCAACAAATATGGGCATCATCAGATGCTATCAAAGCCAAACGTATTCCTTTATTTAAAAAACTGGAGTCAAAAGACATGTCAGAATAATCTTCTGTCCTTGCACTCATTGCAGTTGCTATTTAGGCATTAAAGCGGTGAAAAAACAACTATTACGATTATGGCTTTCACGCACGACTTGTCAAACAGCGTCTCGAAAAAAGTTTTTACTAAAAAACAGTATAAGAACTTGGACATACTTTCAGCAGAGTCCCTGCATAGAAAATAAATATACTTACAATACAAAAAATATGTAAATTCCAAAATTAAAAGACCAAAGAATTTTAGATCAAAAAAGTTCAAATTTTGTCAAGTGCTTGCGTTAAAAAAAAAAATAAAAAACTATTCAATAAAATACTAACGATTCGCCAGGGAGCAGTATGGTTTCGGGAATGCAATGATTGAATGGACTTTCGTGGAATTACTTTCTGCGTTTTCTACCAACTATTCCTTATGTGCTTGTTAGTACTTTTCGTATCATGGTGTCGTGTTTCACACAGCGGCTTGTCTTCTCTACCAATTTGCACCCTTCTACCGTAGAGTTGGTGCGAGATATGCTGCGTTGTGTTTGGATGCAGGATTCGGCCATTCTTCGAATCGTTCTCCCCTTCTTGCATTCTGCATCGGCGAAATTTCACCACCCAACTGACGTGTGTTTTATGGATGTGATGCCTGTCTCACCGACCATGTGCCGATGGGTAAGTTTGTGTGTGTGCGTGTGAATGTGTGCTCGGTAAGCTCAGAAAGTGGACTTGGGTTTTGTTGTGTTCTTAGCCTCGTATGATTGGTCGTCAGGCGTTCGAACACCCGGCCACCGCAATCTATTCTCGGGTCATCAAACGAGCAGCTGCACTGCGTCAGATTGCCGAGTACACAAGGGAGAACAACTTAGTTACTCCGCAGGGTCTTCCCAAGACCTCGGGTGGAGGTCTGCTCGCGAAGCAGTCGCAACAGGTTCAGCAAACGGAGAACGGTTCAATTGGCCACAACATAACTCCAGGTCTCATGACTGCCGAGCGCGCTGCTGCAGCACTTCAAGTGAGCCTACCACTGCTAACATCTTGTTGTCTTTCATCTCTTCACCTCTCGTAGGCGGGTTTTGCTCACTGGTACCGTTTGTCATAATGAATGCAAGGTCCCTCCACACATTGGGCAATTTTAAGACCCGTTGTACAACAATGTGGATCCTGTTCATAATGCTTATGCCTGCATTCTGTATGCCACTCGAAGTGGCAAATCTGCGCTTTATCGCAATCGCTCTGACAGCAAGGAAGGAAAGATCCTACTTATAAGCAATTAGTAAGTAGCTTTCCAAACAGCATCGGACGAAGGTTTCGATGGAGGAATTGAAAAACACGTATCATTTATCCTGAGTTGCAATTAGCACTAGATGGTAACGTTCCAATCCCTTTTCGACTTTACTAGCGAGACCGTAGTTGTTGGTTTATGTGAGTTTGTACTATGAAGTGGGCATAACTGTCGTGAGATGCATTTGTCTATGGTAAATGCACTCGGTATTGCTACTTGCGGCGTTTTGTGGGGCTGAACCGTTTTGTGCTAGGATCGTAGATGTATGCTATTTAAAGTGAATGAAAGGATGTTAGTGATCAGCAAGAATTAGTCCGACTACGTTTCTTTCAATAAGGCGTCTCGTATATTTGCACTGCATCAATGTTTAGGCCTCGGTAATCTTTTTGCAAGCCGCAGTGAACGCGGTATTCGATGTGAATACGAGTGTGCTACCGACTGGGTTCGAGCCGCGTCTCCGTAGGTCTGGTGACAGTGTGCAACTACCGGGGTTGAGGCAACGTTTGGAGAAGAAGGAGGGTCTGTTCCGCATGTACATGATGGGCAAGCGTGTCAACTACGCCTGCCGCTCCGTCATCAGTCCCGACCCCAATCTCCGAGTATTTGAGGTAACTTCGTGTCCCGAGTGCACATACCATTACCTTGCACTCCAATTATGGGTGGAATTGTCCTCCTCACCGGATAACTTTTGCCATCTCTGTTTCCACGCTTAATTAACCTCAAGAAATAAGGCAAAATAGCTATGGACTACGGTCCTCCGGATTACTGGGAAGTTAGTGCATTGTAATTTCGCAACAAAATGGTAGTGCTTTTTTCCACATTAGAGTCTTAACATTTTCAAATGCAATATTGCTTCGCCTTTTATAGAGTGGACTCTGAAAGCAGCTTGATTGGTGCGTACAGAGGATATGTGTAAGCCATCGAGCAGAATCTTTTGCAAACGATTAGTATGCTCTCCCATCAAACAAGGGTTGAACTCTTGGAGGAGTTGAAGTTCTCAGTGCTCTTATCCAAGTGGTTAGGTTTCGTGAACTGCTCAGTGTTTACACTGTGGTAATCGGGATGGTTTCCTTTGTGTTGTGGTGATTCCAATTTTGATGCCCTCCACCCCCTGACTCGTGGAAATATGGACGTTTGGAATAGTTACAGAGACGGCCGGTTAAGTAGGAATAAATTGTGGTAAGCGATATCAGTCACGCAACGCACAGCTGGCTATGCATTAAGAGGATTACGGTGATTATCTTGAACACGAATGGGTATTTGCATGACAACCACCTCTTCGTCTTGGATGGAAGATATAGAGCAGTTCATGTAAGGTCTCTTAGCGGTATCTGTCCCAATCTAAAAGAGCCTTCACCCAAAAGCCTGGCGATTGGAGGGATTAGTCGACACTGATGCGTCGATTTGGCGCTTTCTTCGCTAAGGTGGGAGTGCCTCTTTTCATTGCCCACAAACTCACATTCCCGGAGCCGGTGACGGCAGAGAACATATCCAAGCTGCGCAAGCTCGTGAAAGCGGGCCCTGATGTGTACCCGGGTGCCAAGTTGGTGCAGATGGCCGATGGATCGAAGCAGATAATTCCACCGGGCAACTCTGAGACTGCTTTCACGCGTCGACTCGCTATTTCCAAGCGCCTCGCTGTTCCGCATCCCGAACTGCACGGTGGAATGCCTATGGTTGTGAGTGCTTTCTCATCCTTTCCTCCCCAACTCCCCCTCCTTAGTCTACCTCTCCAACGGGCAAAAATTAGAATTCCCTTTTTTTTTCAGGCAGCACAGTAGAAGATGGTCAAAACATGCTTTGAACGATGGAACGAATATTGCCCATTGCGATTTCTCACCGTTTGTCAAGTCTATTTACGAATGAGGTCCTGGTAATTGTGCAAGTATCAATTAGCATCATCAACTCCAGTTGGATATGTGTATGCATTAGGAGGTACTTTGTACCGGTGCAGACCTTGAGTGCCATTCCAAGTAGACCTCAGTCTACTTGTTTTGAAGTGTCGAAGGAAATCAGTGAAAATTGAGTTGTCCCTTGTGTAGCGTCCTGAGTTTTTTGTGAAATCGTAAGAAGTCATAGTGCTATGGCAGAAATAGTCTTACTGGCGTGCAGGAGGGCTGAAAGGCTACTGGTCCGATTTGGCCCTACCCGGAGACATGCCAGTGGGTGGAGGTACACTCCTCGGGGACGTAATTACTCACATAGCCAACCGTGGGGTTAAGCGCTGTGAAAATATTACGCCTTCTTCGTTGGCATGTAGCGCTTAATTGCTGGCTTGCAATGACACTTTTTACGGTGAAACGGTCAACTTTATTGGACGTTAGCAGCACTGTTTAACGTTGAAAAAGCTCATTTGCAGGAGTACCCTGCACAAAAAGTCATTACATTGTTGGCGCTAATAGCTTGACCGAGTAGTTATTTGGCGAATGCTTTTATTCGCGAAGCACTGGAGTAGGTATATTGCAGTACTGCATTGAACAGGAAGTCGCCAAATGTATTGTTCCAGTTTGTATTAACCAGTTCCCTCAATTTTCATTCGCATAGGACGTATTCTAGTTGTTGAAATTCGTCAAATTTAGTTCCAATTGTTCTTGTATCGTATCGAAATGCTCACAATACTCGAAACTACTTTAACAGGTGCATCGTCATCTGGAGGATGGTGATTTCTTGGTAATGAATCGCCAGCCCACCCTCCATAAGCCCTCCATGCAGGCTCACAGGGTGCGCACCATTCGTGCTCCCGGTGCCAAAACTCTACGTCTGCACTACGCCATCTGCAAGGCTTACAACGCCGACTTCGACGGTGACGAAATGAACGGGCATTTCCCCCAAACCTACCAGGCTAAAGCCGAAATGGCACATTTGGGTAGGCTGTTTTGCCGTCTGTACGGGTCAAATTTGACATTAAAGTCCAGTTTAGGATAGAGTCACCTGCGTTTCAGTGCTGTCACTCTTGATCAAATTGCTGCCTTCAATTGGAGGTCCTTCTCAACTCTTTTTTTGGCAAATATTAGCCGCCGTGCCCTACCAGTACCTGACGCCGAAAGACGGCTCTCCTTTGGGTGGTCTCATCCAGGACCACGTCATTGCTACAGTGAAGTTGACCATTCGTGATTGCTTCTTCGACGAGGACGAGTACCTTGATCTCGTCTACAATGGCCTCTACGCTTCTGTCGCTGAGGATGGCTGTGTTCCCGATGCCATTCTCCTACCCCCGGCTATTCTCAAACCGAACCGTCTGTGGACCGGAAAACAGGTCAGGTCATTTAAAAAGTATCCTGCTTTCAACTGTTCATCTTTCGCACTCAATCCAAATCAAGATGTCTTTTGAGTTTGCAAGCCAGGCAAGCTGAATTACACACCAAATGCTTTGAACTTGTAGTCGAAGTCTCTTTTGTAATGGCTGAAAGACTCGAAAAGTGCATCAATTTAAATGTCTCTTCCGGGAGGGAAGCTGTTGCTGCGATAAGCTACTGAGTTTGCAAGAAGAGTAGCTAATAGCTCACCATTTATTCGGGTGTTTTTTTGATGGAGATGGTATTGGCGTCCATTGTCATTTGTAATTGTGGGTGGCTCTTATGAAACGCCTTGTTAATTTACACTGTTAATCATATATTTAATCAACTACCTCGTGATGAACTTTCACTCCTTGTAACTAGATCATTCGGAATCATTGCGGATTAGTTTTTAGTCAAGACAGGCGTGGTAGTTTATGATTGGGAATTCGGTTTGTTGTATCTGTGAGCATTGCTTTTATTCATTCAAAACGCAATGCGTAAGATGGTGGATTATCGATGGCGTGGAGCATCCTCGTTCCCGAGGTACTGCGGCAGCGAAGTGGGTAGTTGTGAATTCCTGCCTTACCTTTATCCAGGTGGTGTCCACATTGCTCATGAATATCGTGCCTGTGGGACTGCCACAGCTCAACGCGTGCCTAGAGGGAAGACGCACAAAGGTAGAGCTGTGGGCGGGCGCACCGTTCGCGATTGCGCGCGTCCTCTCTGACGTCGACCTCGTGATCGTGGGGGGCTATGTCGCCTCTGGCCTCCTTGACAAGGCTCACATTGGTTCGGCCTCGGGGGGTCTGGTGCACTGCTTCTACGAGGCCTACGGACCCTATGCCGCCTCACAGCTCCTCTCCGGCATCTCGCGCGTGGCCGATCGCTTTCTCAAAATCACAAGCTTCTCCATGTCCCTCGCCGACATAATGCTCAGCGAGAAGGCGGACAAAGATAGGCGCAGGCGCTTCAAGGTTGGCTCTCGTGTCCTTCTGCATGCCCGTGATAGTCCACTTGCGTTCCCACGAGCTGTTATGTGATTACAAGAGCAGTCACACTAGTGTCAACTAATCAAAATGACATGATTGTTGTGCATCAGATGGGATGGGAGGTCAGCACGAACTGTCTTCGAAATTGCGACTGTGCTATGCAACACGCCATCCCCGCGGAAGTTGCGTACTTTGCACCACCGAGGCAACCACTTTTGTATTTCAGAAAATCTACGATAGTGTTGAAGGTAGTAGAAATGTCCCCAATAAAGTGAGTGTAATAGAATGACTGAGGGAGTGTTTACTACTTCCCACGCTACACCTAGTGCATGTGTTGGACAGGAAAAAGTAAAGCGTTGACTTATTCTTTTCGGTTTTCAATGAGACTGGAAATGCAAACCTGTTGCCTATTTGGGACAATTTGAACATGTATGTAGAGTGAAGCCGTGCTGCTTTCATCTATTTCATGCACTATCTATTGACAGTTTTTTTTCTGAGGAGTCATTAGATTGGCCCACTAGCAGACGATTTGGGTGGCAAAAAGTTTTTGGAATCGCATCACGAGTTTTCAATCCAGTTTTACTATCTGCACTTTTGAAAGGGAATGCAAACCCTCGGTTTGTGTGCCTTCGCTGATGCCTTCGGCCTGACCGCGGACACGTTGACGGAGGAGAATGTGAAGCACCTCTATAGGATGGCTCACTTTGCACCGAAGACAGACGAGGTGCTCGGTGGCAAAATGGCTGCTCTTGACTGTGCTGTAAAGGACAGGATCAAACACTCCCAAGATGCTGTCTGCGAGTAAGTTCTGCGCTTTGGTTTGCAGTTCAATCCTCCTCGATGGTGGCTGGTTAATCCAAGCTCCCACTACGCAGCCGACGCTTTGTTTCTTTGTAATAAATACTACTTTGAGTGATGTTTGCACTTTTAAGCTCCAACCTTGAACAGTTCACCTCCAATACACTGACCGCATCTTCTTTTAAGCGCTGCCATTCCGTCGGGTCTTTATATACCCTTCCCAGCCAACGCATTGCAACTGATGGTTCATGTCGGTGCCAAAGGTGGAATAGTAAGCTTTCTTTAACATTTCCATTCATACCATTGCACTGTCTGATCCGCTCGATACAGGAAGTTGATTTCGCCCCCAAATTTTCATTTTGTAGCCAAGTTTCGTAATTCACGCCGTTAAATGAATCCTTCGACTTTCACGTGTTTTAAAGCCACTTTCCATGCAAACGCATAACACCATCATCGAGGCAGTCTTGTTTCGGAGCACGTAATGTATGCAATTGTTGCAGTTATGTGCCTCAATGGAGCTTATTACTATTTCAGACGTCGTTGGTATTCCTACCTCGTACTTGATTCTCCAACCTTACGAGCTAGTGTTAATCCCTCTCCTGTTGGTTCATGCACTTGTCCATCGTTTATGCTATACGTGCTGCCCGACGTCGGTAGTGAGACAGAGTGACTGCTTCTCTCCTCAAGTATGATTGGACTACTTTCTCCTCACCTTTTGCCTCATTTCGCTCTGCAACTATTACCATTATAAGGAGGAAGCACCACTCACTATTTCCCTGCTCTAATTTCTCACCACAGATGGTAGCAATGAGCCTTCACAAAAGCTTTCACCGCCTTGCACTATTTGAAGGCATTTCGTAGAAAGTCTCACATGCCCTAATTGCATGATGCATTTCTACTACATTGATCAATCAGTTGACTTCATTGCACCTTCCAAAAATCTCCTAGCGATATTTGGGGTTTGGTGCTGGAATAATTGATACCGAATTTTGCCACGTAGTTGCTGATATTGAAGTGAAATTGGTCAACTGTTGCATTATTCCTCGTTCGGTCTGGGTAATGCTGACTCGCCCCTTGAGTGTGAGGTCTTCTACCGACTGGATTTCTGTAGGTCAACGCACAACAGATGTCAGTGGCCCTGGGTCAGATAGAGTTGGAGGGTCGTCGGGTGCCCCTCATGCTGAGTGGTCGCTCTCTGCCTTCCTTTCCGCCCTATGACGTGCGTCCGCGCGCCGGTGGCATGTGTACCCACCGCTTCCTCACCTCGATGCCTGCGCAAGAGCTGTTTTTCCACTCCATGGCTGGTCGGGACGGTCTCATCGACACAGCGTGCAAGACCTCTCGCTCCGGCTACCTTCAGCGCTCCCTCATCAAACACCTCGAAGTGAGCTTCCTTGCTAAACAATATTCCTCCATCCCACCCT